ATATGTAGGCGAAAAAATTCTTGGGCAGTGTTCTGAGGCTGCTTCTGAGGAAAATTGTTAGCCAACTCTTTGGAGACTTGAGACTCATTGTGCATGCCTTTGATGAAGTGCTATTTTTTTTATTCCTTGAGGCTCTACAAAAGTTTGAGTAGATATTTCATTTTCGCCCAGACATGGTGTTGAGTGTATAGATTTGCTAATCATTTCTAGGGGTGGCAAAAAAACCGAATTTTCCGGTCTCGAACCGGACCGAAATGGTCCCGTTCTGAAAAATGGTTCAAAAAGTTTTCTTTATTTTTGTCCCGTTCCCGGTCCCGAATCGATTTAAGCAATGCCGGTATAGGTTTTTAATATTTTTTTTTCGAACTGTCCCATTTGTTTGGTTTTATTCTTTTTGTACAAAAAATATTATATAAATATACATAGAAAATACATTATTATTATATCTATATTAATAATATAGTGAATAATTATTAAACTTTATTAGTTCATAATCATTGTTATTATATTATGTTTATATAAAATACAAAATTGTTATAAAACTAGAAGGAAAAGATAGAGAATAGAGAGAATGTATATTCGTAGGTGTGTTGTTCATTATAACTGAAGCTCCTATTTTTAGGAAAACTTTTGATGGCATAATCGTAATAATATAATTACATCGAGGACAAAATAGTCATTCACATTTAATATTTTATCATCTCGTGCACTTCATGCACATTATTATAACACTTCCCCTTGAATTACTATTATTCTGTCTTTTTAAAAACCTTATCTGGAAAAACCCTGTGGGAAAAAATCGAGATAAGGGAAAAAGAGTACAGTTGCACATGCTCCCCCTCGAGTTATCATCTATGCAAATCCCGAAGATGTCTCATTCTAATATTGTGCACGTGTTTTCGAAATATTGTAGTCGGAAGCGCCTTCGTAAATAAATCTGCTGCATTATCGCTTGATCGAATGTATTGAACTTTGATTTGCTTGTTTCTTTTAAGCTCTTGAGCATATGAGAAGAACTTTGGCGGGATATGTTTCTTTTAATGTATCCCTCTTTGGTCTGAGCGATGCATGCTGCATTGTCTTCGAATATCACCGCCGGGTTATTATTATTTGATAGTCCACTGGCTTGTTGAATATGTTGAGTCATGTTTCTGAGCCAGATGCTTTCCCTAGTTGCTTCATGAAGTGCAGTGATCTCAGCATGGTTTGAAGATGTCGCGACTAATGTTTGTTTTTGGGAACGCCAAGAAAACGCAGTTCCACCAATCGTGAAAACGTAGCCAGTTTGAGATCTTGCTTTATGGGGGTCTGATAGATATCCTGCATCTGCAAAACCGATCATTTCATGGTTTTTATCATTTGAGTAAAACAATCCCAAATCGATTGTCCCTTGGAAATAACGGAATATTTGCTGGATTCCATTCCAATGTCTCCTCGTAGGTGACGAGTTATATCTTGCTAACAAGTTGGTAGCAAAAGATATATCTGGTCTGGTGCAATTTGCAAGATACATAAGAGCTCCTATTGTACTCATATATGGTATTTCAGGACCAAGTAATTCTTCATCCTTTTCACAAGGTCGAAATGGATTCTTTTCAACATCTAACGTTCGATTGACCATTGGGGTACAAAAGGGATCAGCCTTGTCCATATTGAATCGTTTCAATATTCTTTTAGTGTAATTAGATTGATGGTCAAATATCCCATTTTGGACTCGTTCTATTTGTAAGCCGAGACAATATTTGGTTTGTCCGAGATCTTTCATTTCAAATTCGCCTTTCAGTAAAGTGACTGCTTCTTGTATTTCATTTGGAGTCCCAATAATATTAAGATCATCGACATAGACAACAATTATCAGAACTCCATCTTGTGATCTTTTTATAAAAACACACGGGCATATTTGATTAATTATGTATCCCCGTTTTAGTAATTGTTCAATCAAACAATTATACCACATACGCCCGGATTGTTTCAAGCCATACAATGATCTTTGCAGTTTTATCGCACATAACTCTTTAGGTTTGACTTTAGTGCTTCGGGTATTCTAATCCCTTCTGGAATTTTCATATAAATGTCAGCGTCTAGCGATCCATATAAGTAAGCAGCCACAACATCCATGAGACGCATCTCAAGATTTTCATGGATGGCTAAACTAATCAAGTATCTGAATGTAATTGCATCCATAACAGGGGAATATGTTTCATCATAATCGATCCCAGGCCTCTGGGAGAATCCTTGTGCTACAAGGCGAGCTTTATATCGTGTGATCTCATTTTTCTCATTTCTTTTTCTGACAAAAACCCATCTGGATCCAATAGGTTTTATGTCTTTTGGTATAATGGTAATAGGTCCAAAAACCTTTCGTTTATTAAGTGAATCTAACTCGGCTTGAATAGCACCTTTCCACTTATCCCAATCATGTCTTTTCTGACATTCAATCATAGATTTTGGTTCAAGATCCTCAACCTCTTTGTCAATTTCTTGTGATACCATATATGCGAATGCATCATCAATTTTTATGACCTCATCACGCTTCCAAAGATTCCCATTGTTTGCGTAATTGATGGACATTTCAATATTTTCATTTCGTGCCGAAATCTTTCCATCATCTTGATTATTTTTTAAACTCGAGTCATGATATTCTCTTTTCTTTCGAGGATTCTTATCTTTAGACCCAACTGGTCTTCCTCGTTTTAAGCGTGTCTTTAATTCATTTGGCATCGTCATTTGCCATTTCTTTGGGGATCTCAATTCGAGCAGGGGCATTTACGGCTGCCACATGTGATTTGGTCACCCTTTTTAAGTCAGTAAATGCATCTGGCAATTGATTTGCGATATTCTGCAGATGTATGATCTTTTGAACTTCTTGTTTTCTTTGTTTGGTGGGAGGATCAAGATATGATATTGATGATGTTTGCCATTCAATATTTCTCTCAATTGTCTTTTCATTCCCACCTAAGGTGGGGAACAATTCTTCATTAAAATGACAATCATCAAAACGAGCTGTAAAAACATCACCCGTTTTTAGCTCAAGGTATTTAATTATTGATGGAGAATCATATCCAACATATATTCCCAACCTTCTTTGAGGCCCCATTTTTGTACGTTGGGGCGGAGCAATTGGTATATACACTGCACAACCAAAAACTCTTATATGTGTAATATTTGGTTCTCGACCATATGCTAACTGTAATGGCAAGTATGTATGGTGTGCATTTGGTCTTATTCGAATTAGATCATTTGCATGTAGAATAGCATGTCCCCATACTGAAGTGGGGAGTTTTGTCCTCATTATCAATGGTCTAGCTATAAGTTGCAGTCGTTTAATCAACGATTCTGCTAGACCATTTTGAGTGTGAATATGTGCCACAGGATGTTCAACATCAATTCCCACTACCATACAATAATCATTAAATGTTTGAGATGTAAACTCTCCAGCATTGTCAAGTCTGACTCTTTTGATAATATAATCTGGGAATTGAGCCCTAAATTTAATAAGTTGGGCAAGAAATTTAGCAAATGCCACATTTCTAGTGGATAACAAACTCACGTGAGACCATCTACTAGAGGCATCAATTAACACCATAAAATATCTGAATGGACCACAAGGTGGATGAATAGGTCCACATATATCACCATGAATCATTTCCAAAAATAATGGTGATTCATATCCGACTTTAGTATGTTGGTCTCATTATCAATTTCCCTTGAGAGCATGAGGCACATTTCAATTCATGTGTTTGCAATATCCTCTGATTTTTTAATGGATGCCCACTAGAATTTTCAATAATTCTTCGCATCATTATCGAGCCAGGATGACCAAGTCGATCATGCCAAAGTTTAAACATTTTATTCGTCTTTGAATTTGTTGCAGCATAAGCCTCGATCATATTAATCTGGGTGTAATATAAACTCGAGGATAGAGCGGGTAACCTCTCCAAAACATATTTATTTCCCGCATTGTTTGAGTTAATGCAAAGATATTCAACTCCCTCTTTATTCATTGTTTCCACATGATATCCGTTCATTCGAATATCTTTAAAACTCAACAAGTTTCTTGTTGATTTATGGGAGAATAATGCATCATTCACTGTAAATTTTGTACCACACATCATAAAAAATATGGCCTTGCCAGAACCCTCAATTATCTTTGCACTTCCAGATATGGTGTTTACTTTTGCTTTATTTAATATCAAGTTGACGAAATATTTTCTGTCCTTGAGTATAGTATGAGTAGTGGCACAATCTGCAATACATATATCTTCATTTTGAATTCGAGACCGATCAATGATTTAAAAGAAAACAACATTTATTATTGATTAAATTTGAAATACAGATAAAAGGAGTCCACACACAAATACAACAAAACTTAGAAAGCAAAAAAAACATGATCATCAGTTATTCTCTTGATCATTTCCATCTCTGTCTTCAAACACTGCATCGGCAAAATCCAGTTTCAATATGTCATCGATGCCATAATCATCATCCACACGTGTTGTATCATTTTCAGAGGATTCCCCAACTATAAAATTGGTTTCTATATTCTTATCTTTTGATTTCTGGGAATCGTTATAATTATCAACAATGTGTCTCGGAGCACGACAATTTCGTGCCCAATGTCCCTTCCTTCCACATCGATAATATGCATTTTCATTATTATTCTCCGTCACATTGTTCTGTTCAAATTTTGGCTGGAAATTTCTCCCCCTTTCATAATTTTGGACATAGTTGCGGCCTCGTCCACGATTGTATCCTCGGCCCGAGTTATACCCTCGGTGAAATTTGTAGCCTCGGTCGGTTTGGCGATCCGGACCATATCCACGGCCACGGCCACGCCCTGAGGTATATCCACGCACATGTGTTTGGCTGTTTTTATTTTCAGTTCCCTGTCTAGATATTACAGTATTTATTTCAGGGACCGCAGTAGATCCCGTAGGTCTAGATTCATGGTTTTCATCAACAGCTCATTATTTTGTTCAGCTAGCAACAAGCAAGAAATCAATTCAGAATATTTCACAAAGCCTTTTGCTCTGTATTGTTGCTGCAAAAGTACATTTGAAGCGTGGAATGTTGACAACTTTTTTTCATGCATATCGTAATCAGTTATGTTTTCTCCGCATAATTTCAATACCGAGCAAATGCGGAACATTGCTGAATTGTACTCGTTTACAGTTTTGAAATCTTGGAAGCGTAAGTGCATCCAATCATAACGAGCCCGGGGGAGAATCACCGTTTTCTGGTGATCATACCTTTCTTTCAAGGCTTTCCAGAGATCTGCAGGATCTTTCACAGTTAAATATTCATTTTTCAATGCCTCATTCAAATGATGTCTCAGAAATATCATTGCTTTAGCTTTATCTTGTATTGATGAATTATTTGGGGAGATTATTGTTTCTCCCAACCCCCTTGCAGCCAAATGAATTTCGGCATCCAATGTCCATGAAATATAATTTTTTCCAGATATATCAAGAGCTTCAAATTCGAGTTTGACCAAATTTATCATGATAACTATAAAATAAAACATCAATGCTTAGATTCGAAAAAAATTACATATACAATCATTAATTCTCCAAAACACAGAAGAGCAAATAATAAACTCATTATACAAAGACGTAATACATAAAATATAAATTCAGAAGTATGATACATCATTGTGAAAGTTCCCAAGGCGTATATAATAAACAATATTCCCTTCTATTCATAATAAGTGTCGTTTTGGGAAGTTGCACACTAATTAAGAATAATTTTTTTGCCAATAATAACCCTCATTAGTGAAGATAGAGATGGATGTTTAAAAAAAAAAAGATGAAAAGAATATGAAAAGACGTAGTGTATTTATTAACTAAATGAGGATAATAATGAAAAAATATGTACAAAAGATCAAAAACGACATTTATTTTGATTAATAGTTGATAAAGCCATGACATTTAAAAAGAATAGGAGGTAGTATAATGGTAATTATAAATAGTAGATGAAACATTTTTTCTTTTCGTTTGAGGAGAATATTTATTAGTATTTGGAATGAGTGTTAATATATGAAATGTAGTGTTATATATATAGATTGGTAAATAACCGTTGCAATATAGCCGTTAAGTAGCCATTGGAAACAAATTAACGATATAATATTTATTAGTTAATCAACTCATGATTATAAAATTCTAATTAATCATGTATATTACCTTAAAAATTTTCCGAGCCACTTTGTAAAAAATTTAATGAATATAAGTAATGAAACAAAAAAAAATGTCACTACACACTACTCGATAAATCTTTCGCTGGGTACAAGAATAAGCAGTTATAAATCTCACGCCACATTACTGGGTAAACCAGTTTGTGGGTGTTAAGTATAATTAATAATATTATTTATTGTAACTTGAAGTTATTTATCATAATTAGTAGTAATTCATAAGCAAAAATAATATCATCTTACTACATATTATTGACTATGACATAGCCTGACTTGTCAATAATAATGGTAGTGTGTAAATAATGTCATATTTACTATATTCATACCACATATCCTTGACTGTGGCAGAGCCTAACTTGTCAAGAATAATGGTAATATGTATATTAGTAAAATATACTAACTTTATGTAATACATATACATACAAAGATATCAAACTACACTATAGCCGTTAAGTAGCCATTGGAAACAAACTAACGATATAATATTTATTAGTTAATCAACTCATGATTATAAAATTCTAATTAATCATGTATATTACCTTAAAAATTTTCCGAGCCACTTTGTAAAAAATTTAATGAATATAAGTAATGAAACAAAAAAAATGTCACTACACACTACTCGATAAATCTTTCGCTGGGTACAAGAATAAGCAGTTATAAATCTCACGCCACATTACTGGGTAAACCAGTTTGTGGGTGTTAAGTATAATTAATAATATTATTTATTGTAACTTGAAGTTATTTATCATAATTAGTAGTAATTCATAAGCAAAAATAATATCATCTTACTACATATTATTGACTATGACATAGCCTGACTTGTCAATAATAATGGTAGTGTGTAAATAATGTCATATTTACTATATTCATACCACATATCCTTGACTGTGGCAGAGCCTAACTTGTCAAGAATAATGGTAATATGTATATTAGTAAAATATACTAACTTTATGTAATACATATACATACAAAGATATCAAACTACACTATAGCCGTTAAGTAGCCATTGGAAACAAACTAACGATATAATATTTATTAGTTAATCAACTCATGATTATAAAATTCTAATTAATCATGTATATTACCTTAAAAATTTTCCGAGCCACTTTGTAAAAAATTTAATGAATATAAGTAATGAAACAAAAAAAATGTCACTACACACTACTCGATAAATCTTTCGCTGGGTACAAGAATAAGCAGTTATAAATCTCACGCCACATTACTGGGTAAACCAGTTTGTGGGTGTTAAGTATAATTAATAATATTATTTATTGTAACTTGAAGTTATTTATCATAATTAGTAGTAATTCATAAGCAAAAATAATATCATCTTACTACATATTATGTTGATGTATTTAGTATTTAGCATTAGATATTTTCTATTGTACCCTTATTATCTTAGTTTCTTAAGGACCAAGCTATTGTAAAACCTAATTGTACATTTATATATATATGAGAAGGGCGAGCCGCAAGACATCAGATTAGATGTCGCAAATCATTCTTTCTCTTCTGTTTCGTTCTTGTCATGGTATCAGAGACAATATTTTTTTCGTTAGTTCTCCTCTCTACTGACATGGCCATGTCCGGTGAAGGCTCATATTTTTTTTCGTTCTAGAGCAGGATAATATATTTTTTTTTTTCTCGTCAGTTCTCCTCTCTACTGACATTGCCATGTCCGGTGAAGGCTCAGGCTCAGGCTCAGGCTCGGCTGTTATTCTCAGAAAAACGATCTCTCCATACGACATCACTTCGAGCGACAATCCGGGCCTTTTGATCACTCAAGTTCAATTAAAGGGAGACAACAATTATGAAGAATGGTCCCGTAGCATCCGCACCGCTCTTCGTGCGCGCAAGAAGTTTGGATTTTTAGATGGTTCGATCGTGCGACCAGCCCTTGACTCCGATTTGTTTGAAGATTGGCAAGCCAACAATGCCCTCTTGCTATCTTGGCTTATGAACAGTATTGATGCCACGCTCCGATCGTCTGTGGTGGAGCCGGAACTTGCGGCAGATTTATGGTGCTCTTTGAAGGAACGATTTACAATGAAGAACGGTCCTCGCATTCAACAACTCAAATCGGATCTGGCGGCTTGTAAGCAGAAGGGTTTGAGTATTGAAGCATACTACGGTAAGATCACCAAACTTTGGGAAGAATTAGCTGATTATGAGAAACCCCCCATGTGTCGTTGTGGTCTTTGTGAGTGCAATTTGAAAGCCGAATGGGATCGTAAATATGAAAGTGAAAAAGTTCATCAATTTCTAAAAGGACTAGACGCAACCCTCTATGGCGCTACTCGTTCGAATTTACTGGCCCAGGAACCGTTCCCGACATTAAATCGAGTTTATTCTACTTGCATCCAGGAAGAGAGGATGCGAACCATCTCCCTCGTCGACGATACCATAGAATCGGCTGCTGGTTTTTCCATCCGCGCAGGTCAATCCGCTCTTTCTCGCGGGCAGGATATTGTCTATAACATGCGGATTGGTGACGGACACACAGGCGGAGGGCGTGACAGTCACGTCTCTTCTCATGTGACGGGCTTCTCACCACAGATGTCTGGCTCAAAGCCCGATCACCCTGGCAGCGGCGGTGTTCCAAACAGCGGCGGAGGTCGGCAGCGTGTCTGTTACAACTGCGGGAAAAGCGGACATCTCGCGGCCAGCTGTTTTGAGGTTCTCGGTTATCCTGACTGGTACCCCCGTGGTGGTGCTGGCCGCAGAGGTGGTAGGCGCGGCCGCGGCGGTCGTGGCGGGGGTGCTCCTGCCCAAGCAAACGTTGCCGCCACCGCCATGCAAGTTGGGACCTCCTCAAATGCCGGACTTAGCTCCTCCGATCGTGTTATCAGTGGATTGACTGATGAACAGTGGACTCAGCTTGTTCATTTGGTTAACTCTGCTAAACAGGACAGTAAGTCGTCGTCTGGTAAGCGAAGTTTATATGATTAGATGTATGATTGTGGTGCTTCTCACCATATGACCGGTTTCTTAGAATTTTTGTGTGATGTTCGTGACATACCTGCTCGTCCTGTTCAGTTACCCAATGGATCCTTGACATCAGCCAATAAATTGGGCACTGTTTATTTGGGGTCCTCTATTGTTTTACATGATGTCTTATTTGTACCCAGCTTACAGTGTAGTTTGATATCTTTGTTCCAGTTGTTGGATAAGTCTGGCTGTACCGCACATTTTACTAACAAGTTCTGTGTCGTTCAGGATTGCACTTCGAAGATGGTGACTGGAGCGGGTGAGCAGATAGGGGGACTCTATTTTTCCCGGGGGACAGTATCAGTTGCGTCTTCTCGAGTAGTGAAAGTTTCTTCTGATTTATGGCATCAATGATTGGGACATCCATCGGATCGTGTTTTGTCACATTTGTCTTTTATTGATTCTCAGTCTTCTGTTTCGAATAAGTCATGTGATGTTTGCTTTAGGACCAAACAGACAAAGGACTATTTTTCTCTTAGTCATACTGTCAGTAGTGGTATTTTTCATTTGGTACATTGTGACTTGTGGGGGCCCTATCGGGTTCCTACCTTTTGTGGATCTCGTTATTTCTTGACCGTTGTTGATGATTATTCTTGTTGTGTTTGGATTTATCTACTTGGTGATAAAACAGAAGTGTCTTCGGTCTTAATGAATTTTTTTGCTATGGTTAAGCGTCAATTTGACACATTGGTGCGTGTGGTTCGCAGTGACAATGGCACTGAGTTTATGAGTATGACTGATTATTTTCATCGTGAAGGTATTGAGACCTCTTGTGTTGGTACCCCTCAGCAGAATGGCCGTGTTGAACGGAAACATCAACATATTCTTAATGTGGCTCGTGCGTTGCGATTTCAAGCCCATCTGCCTCTTAAATTTTGGGGCTATTGTGTTCTTACTGCTGCTCATTTGATTAATCGAACTCCCACGCATGTTTTGGGTAACAAAACCCCGTATGAGATGCTCTATGGAAAGTTGCCTGATTATTCTCGGTTACGTGTCTTTGGGTGTTTGTGTTATGTGTATAACCGGGACTGTCGTGGCGACAAATTTGCTAGTCGCAGTCATAAAGGTGTGTTCGTGGGCTATCCTCTTGGGCAGAAAGGCTGGCGGGTCTATGATTTGGATCGAAAAATTTTCTTAGTTTCTCGTGACATTGACTTTGTTGAGACTGACTTTCCCTATGAGGAGTCTCCTCCGGCCTCTTTACCCACTTCGGTCCCTCCTGTTGTGACTTGGCCTCCTATGTCGGATCCAGATGACGATCATTCGATTTTAGTGCCACCTGCGGCTGTGACTGATCCATCACTCCCTTCTGGCCCTTCCGATGACAGGGGGGGTCCTTCGGTTGCTGCTGATCCCGACAATGTGTTGGGTCGTGGTCATCGCACCCGCTATCCCTCGAGCCGCCTCCGTGATTTTGTTACTGCTACTGTCTGTCCCCCTGGTCCCTTTGCTGCTCTGCCTACTTCCTCACCTTCTTCAGGTACGCCTTATCCTCTCGCACATTATGTTAGTTGTGATTCTTTCTCATCGGTCCACAAGTCATTTTTGGCAGCTCTTTCTTCTGCTGTCGAGCCTCGTACATTTGCTGAGGCAGCCACTGATAGTCGATGGCGAGGAGCCATGCAGAATGAAATCCAGGCTCTCGAGAATAATGGCACTTGGGAGGTGGTTTCTCTTCCTCCTGGGAAACGTGCTATCGGTTGTAAATGGATTTACAAGATTAAATATCGTTCGGACGGCGCTGTTGAGCGCTATAAAGCGCGACTGGTGATTCTAGGTAACAATCAAGTCGAAGGGATTGATTATCATGAGACTTTTGCCCCTGTTGCTAAAATGGTGACAGTACGGACTTTTTTAGCTGTTGCTTCCGCTCGTAAGTGGGAAGTCCATCAAATGGATGTCCACAATGCCTTTCTTCATGGTGACTTGGATGAGGAGGTCTACATGAAGCTTCCTCCTGACTTTCGGACTGGTGATGATGGACGTGTATGTCGTTTGCGTCGCTCTCTCTATGGATTAAAGCAGGCTCCTCGGTGCTGGTTTGCGAAGCTGGCTACTTCTCTTAGTCAGTATGGTTTCTCTCAGTCAAACTCTGATTACTCTTTATTTACCTTGCATCGTGGGTCTGTCCACCTGCAGGTGTTGGTGTATGTTGATGACCTTCTTGTCTCTGGCAATGATCCTGTGTCCATTGGGGCCTTTAAGAGCTACTTGAGTCGCTGCTTTCACATGAAGGATTTGGGTTTCTTGAAATATTTTTTGGGTGTTGAGGTAGCTCGCAACATTTCTGGCATTTTTTTGTGCCAGCGAAAATATGCTTTGGACATCATTTCCGAGGTTGGTTTATTGGGAGCTAAGCCGGTGGAGTTTCCGCTGGAACAGAATCATCGTCTTCTTGACGATGCTAGCCCCTTCCTCGATGACTCGGAAGCATATCGGCGCCTGGTTGGTCGTTTAATTTATTTGGCTGTTACACGTCCCGAGTTATCTTACTCAGTGCATGTTCTTGCTCAGTTTATGCATCAACCTCGGCGATCACATTGGGAGGCTGCATTGCGAGTTGTTCGATACCTGAATGGCTCCCCTGGGCAAGGTACTCTGATTTGCTCTGACTCTGATCTTCAACTCTCTGGGTGGTGTGATTCTGACTGGGCTGCATGTCCTCTTACTCGTCGGTCTCTTAGTGGCTGGTTTGTTCAGTTGGGCCAGTCTCCGATTTCTTGGCGTACCAAGAAACAGCACACTGTGGCACGTTCTTCTGCAGAGGCTGAGTATCGGGCTATGGCTACTGTTATTTGTGAGCTTAAGTGGTTGAAAGGATTGCTGCACAGCCTTGGTGTGCCCCATTCGCAGCCCATGCGTCTCTATTGTGATAGTCAGGCGGCATTGCATATTGCCGCTAATCCAGTTTTTCATGAACGGACTAAACACATTGAGGTGGATTGCCATTTTGTTTGCGATGCCCTTGTTCAAGGCCTTGTTTCGACATCTTATGTTCACACTCGTTCACAGTTGGCCGATCTTTTTACTAAGGCACTTGGAAAGCGCGAGTTCGACTTTTTCCTTAGCAAGTTGGGCATTCGGAATCCCCATGCTCCAACTTGAGAGGGGGTGTTGATGTATTTAGTATTTAGCATTAGATATTTTCTATTGTAACCTTATTATCTTAGTTTCTTAAGGACCAAGCTATTGTAAAACCTAATTGTACATTTATATATATATGAGAAGGGCGAGCCGCAAGACATCAGATTAGATGTCGCAAATCATTCTTTCTCTTCTGTTTCGTTCTTGTCACAGGGTAAAGGTGGGAAGGCTTTTGAAAAAGTTTTGCATGAGCACATCGTTCCATGGCTAACAGTCGTAGATGACCTTAAAACAAATGTTGTGGTGCGGGTTGATAAATTTGTCGAGAAACGTGAACTATTGTTTAGCTTCCAAGAACAAGAAACATGTGCGGACGATTGGTATTTCAAGTACAAGCAGTTGTTCGAATGTAGAAATGGCAAGCGTGATTCGGCTAATCCGTTTGTGGATATTTGTGACGAGATCTTAAAATGGTCCCCATTTCCTGAGCGACAACCGTTTCATAATCTTTATTTGGATTCATAAGGTGTAGGGTGTCTTTTATGAGTATCATAGCCAACTCTATGCTCACATTTCTGATTATGCAGAGTTGCAGACAATAGTTTTCTTTTTAAGTATTTCAAATGTTGTTTATAGTGGGTATGTTGTTGTTGTTATTTCAAATGTTGTTTATACGATAATCACAATCCCCTGTAATGCTCTCGTCTCATTTATCCTCTTGCTTTGCAATAAAAGTCCACTTTATTTTATTTTTACTAAACACAAATTTGTGTTGTCTATCTGGATTGTGAATAACCTTTAAGCAATAATAAATAAGATAAATAAATTCAACCAAATAGTCGGATTAGTAAGAAGTGTCATTTAAACCATCTCCAACTGAAAAATTCATTTTCAAATACATTTTGTAAAAACTCAACCGACAAACTCATTCTTTCTCGTCAACTATTGTTATTTTAATACTACCAATATATTTTACTTCATGACCCATTATTATTTTATATTGAATAATATACAATAAATTTACTAGATTAATAATTCATACATATAAAAAATATTTGTTTATTCGCGAAATGTTCTCTTTGGATAGTTATTCAATAATACCTCATGTTTAACAAAACTATAAATTTAGTTGGTAGTATTAATAGCTTCTTTCTTTTTTAATTTCAAGCATGTAGAGTTTATTTTCTTATTCTTGAAATATTTTAGAAATTTGATCATGTTTGATTTTTTTTGGCAAATTTTTAGAATACTCTCATTTTCTAAAGAACATCTTAAAAATATTTCATAATTAATAGATTCAATCTATTATCTATACATGCTATGTATATTTACTAACTGAAAATGCAAACTAAAATTAGTTTGTTTTATTAATTAAGATAAATAATGTTTTTCAAAATTCTCGTATTATTAACTCACGTGAATATTTTTATATTTAGTTGTTTGTATTATTAAATCACTTTGCATATAACATGAAAAGTTGGAAAAGTGGGAAATCGTTTTAGAAAGGAACAAGCTGTAAAGGATATCATCATCATTTTGATAAAAATAAAAATAAAAAAAAAAAATTAAAAAAAAAAAAAAACGAATTTGGATTTAATAAAAAGGAGAAATCTTATTTATAAGCCTGTTACCTTCATTTGTACTCACTACTGATTCAAAAACATGTTTGTGGTTCCGTTTTAATTGATTTGTACTACTTATTCTTGTGGTTCAATTAATTATAATTTTAGTTTATCAATTAGTTACTTCAGTGCTCTTCTCAGTTCTTCTTTGCTTTGCTGCAAACCGGTCTGTATTGATGAAGTTAACCACACAAACTTGACTAAAAACACGCCTTTGATTCTTTTTTTTCCCAAACGATGATCATTTGCAAACAATTCCAATTCTATACTTGAGTGTCTTTTCTCCATTAAATCTACGTCATTTTTTCAATAACTAGTGCAGATTCCGTGCGATGCACGAAGTGCACAATTTTAAAGTTATTTATCAATTTTATTATTATATTCGTGAATAAAAAATAAATAAATAAAATAAAAAATATTATTATATATTATTAAAAATCTCCTTGTAGATAATATTTTTTACCTTGTAGAAACACCATTCTCCCACAAACTAATATTTTCAAGCTCTTTCGATTAGTCACAAGGGAAACAACTACATACAATTGGTTGTAATTGGACACCGACTTCTTCAAGAACATATCAACATGTGATAAAGACCGATTCTGGCTCTTGTTAATCGTCATGACATAGTAAACCATTTGGAGAAACTGTCTCCGTTTAAATTTTAAAGGTACTACAAAGTCGGAAGGTGTTTGTCATTCGAGGTATCAACAACATTCTCTCCTGCATTAGATTAAGTCAGTACCTTACATTCAAGTACACGAGTGGACAAATTTGTGACAACCAATCCCGTACCTTACATTCAAGCACATGAGCACTAAAGTTAATTATTATAATAAACTTTAAATTTATTAATGTTAATATTCGTATTAGTATTATTATTTATATAAGAACACGAACTGCAATGAAAATAAATGAAACTCACCTCCTCGTCATGAAATAGGATTTCCATATAGTTTTTATATTCAGTGCAACAATTATTCGAATTACCCGCAGCATCAAACATGGTTTATCGGTTCTTGAAACTTGCTTTGGCAAACCGAATTTGTACTTCATGTTGAAAGTATTGTAATTGTCTAGAAACAGAATTAGAAAAGAATATTGAGCATGTAAGTTATACATGATTTGTCTATCAATTTATAGAGTTAGTAAAAGGCTTAATTGAATTAAATTTTAAAAGTATTTTAATTTGAAAATATTGTAGAAAGGCAACTTATGGTCTAGAAATTGCATCAATTTAATTAATTTGTAAACATTATTTATTTATTTTAAATTATAATGATTTGATATTTGATATTATAATTAATTTGAAAAAAAATATTTATATATGTTGCAATGTTCTTCATGTACAGTGCTAACACATTTTCTTGAGTAGATATGGGAAAAAACCTATTTCTTTGTTAATAAAATTTCTGACTATTGGAAGGTATATACACACGTTTCTTTATGCCTTTTTTGGCAAAAAAAAAAACCAATTTATTTGGAAATAAATTTTTTGTATATTGCAAAGTAATATCTCAACACACTTTTTATTTGTAAATTGGTATCTATCACATATTTCGCAAAATAAATCTTTATGTATAGTTTGGTTGTTTTGAATATCTTGAGATACATATAAAATATAAATTTGAATGTTATTGTGTTATGTATATGTATTAGTTTAATATCTATATATAATAAATATTGATTTCAGCAGATAAATTTTTTATTTAAAGTTCATTTTCTTATTTTCAGAACTTTCATACAAATTGTATTGATTACATTCTACACATTTTTTAAAGTAAAAGATCGAAGTAATCTTTAGAATTGATTATATAAGTATAGATATCGAATACTAATATCACTTTACACATAATTAAATAAATTTAATATTTTTTATGAACATTTCTTAGTTACATTTTTATTTATGGTCATTTACATTTTTATTGTGAAAAAAATTATAATGTGTAAAAATTCAGAAAAAAATATAAGATATATTTAATTCATAATTTTTTTAAATAAAAAATACACAATATAGAATAAATAATTCGAATTACTTAAGTTAAATAGCTTAAAAGCTCTATAGTATTCTTGACAGATGTGTGAAATTACCTAAAATAACACCTAAATTGTTTTACGCTATTATTTATATAGGCACACCGCGAAATTTAATTTTTAGTAAATTTACAAATCAAATTTATAACTAAGCTATGTATTATTTATTATTTAAATTTAAATCATGATTATATTCACAAGATAGATGTTATCGGCATATATATTCAAATTTGAATTTTTATATTCAGGAATTAAGTCATTAACATAAGTGGATTCATGAGATAAAATTTAACTGACATGTTGTGAAGGAAAACTTATGGCAACCCATAATTTAAAATTTAAAATCTATTACTATATAATACAGAGAAAAAAATTATTTGAACAATCTGAAAAAAATCATTTCGTTTTCCCGCTTCAATATAGTGTTTTTCCCGCTTCTTCAATTCGTAATTTTTTTTTTTGAATTTTTTCAGCCCATGCAATTAGGTAACCAATCAAATCGAATCTTTTAACATTCAATTTGGTAAGGTGTTCCGATTATTAAGCCTTTTTTTTTGGTAAATTTGATAATCTCTTCGGAAAGATTTTTTTGGTATATCTGAATTATCTATTAATTGAATCTTTACCGTAATTATTGGGTGATCGGATCACAATCCAAACCAATCCTCTCGGCTAACTAATAATCAAATCTCTCTTAATAATTTTGAATGTACCGATCAAAACACAAACCAATTCTCTCGGCTAATTAGGGCTCCACATCAGGAAATGGGCAAGCACAAGCTCGCTCGGTCTTCTCCATGCTCAACGGCGACGGCAAGATCATCCGGGAGGAGCAGATTTTTTTTTATTATTATTATTTTAGGGTGTTGGATTCGAACTTGTATTATGTTTGTATTGCAGTATATTGCATTTCATCAGCTTATGAAGTGTCTTTTTAATTTTGTTTGATTGGATCTTCCTTAATCGTTCGTATGCAGCTATTGTTGGAGTTTGAATTGTGACTGGAATATTTGCGGTAAAAGCCCTTAATTTGGTACATCTGTTGTCGGGACCTTCTCACTTTTTTTTTTTTCACAAAATTCTCGTGTTTTAATCTTGAAGCGATTTTGGTTTTCTTGATGATGGTTCTTTTATTACACATAAATTTGTTTTATCGAGCTGGATTTTTTGATGGGAGATGCTTTTTAGATGGTGGGTTGGATTTTCTGTTTGGGTTACTCTAAAATTGGATTAATTTTAAATTCTATGACGGGCTTCAGTTTGTAAATTCGAAACCCCTTTTCTCCTGTTTTGTGCCGAGGGCTTGGAGTTTGTTGTGTGCAAAGGGGAACATAAATATTCAGTGTTTTTGGGCATTTAACGTTTTTTAACATAAGTAACATGGACAAGTCTCATCTTTAGTGTAAAATCTTGGCGGGTAACATTGACGGTAGAGAGGTTTAGCTTCGGAATGAAGGAAGTGATTACGGGAATAAGATTAGACGATCATGCTAAAGAGTTGCTTGATTGGGAGCTTGTCAAGGTTGCTGATTCTGGAGATAGTGTTGTGGCTATTCATGTTTGTCGAAATTCGGGTAATCCGTTTTCCTTTGCTTTTCTGAACCCTTCATGTTTTAGCTCGAAGGTGACTTGTGTGCGTGTGTGTGTGTTTTGCTTTACTTTCGTGTTTTTGAGGTAAGTGTTCGGTTGCAGATTCTGTTTCGAATGAGAAAATAATGTTGGATGGTTACTTGAAAGACTATGAAGGTTTATGCAGCGAAAAACATGTTATTATTTCATTTGTTTTATCATTAGTATTAATATCAGCATTTTGTTCTCTTTTTTTTTTAATTTAATTTTTATGTTTCTCTTTTGGTTTGGGGATTGAGCTATGTTCAGGTTGCTCTTAGTGTTCCAGTATTGAAAGAAAATTCGATCAGAAAAAAGTTATTTTGGGGATAACTAAGCATGGTAGCATAAGAATCATTTTGCTTCGACTGTTATTTTGGGGATAACTAAGCATGGTAGCTTAAGAGATCTAGAACATGTGATGTTATTTTATTTTATTTTCCATTTCTGGTAAATTTTTTTGAATTATCGCCTATGCCAATTATATTGTGCGGATCAACTTTTTCTGATCTTTTGAATTTGGATGTGAATGCAATCCGATTTTAGTTTTTTTTTTTTGTTAACCAAAATTACTTCAAATCCAACCAAATAGGCAATGACCAATCAACTCCGATTTAATTCCTTTTCCAACCAAAATTAGTGCAAATATTGTTAACCAATCAAATCCGATTTCACTTCTTTTTTTTTCCAATCAATCCAATTTTTTTGGTTGTTTCAAAATTTGTTTAGATTTATATTTTTATTTTATTAATATATTTGAAAGAGAATCAATAAATGTTTATCATAACTTTTATTTTAAAAATAAATTTGAATTATCAAACCTTTTACTTTATATGAAATTAAAAATTACATATTTTAATATATTAATAAACGTTTATTATTTATTTTTTCCTTATGTGATATAATAGAATTTCGGTATTAAATTTGTAAATTCAAACATTTAAAGAAAAAGATTCCAAACAATTTTTTTCTTGGGTAAATTTCATTTTATCTTGGTTTTCATAATCACATTTCTAACAAACTAATTAGTATTATATTTTTTTTATCTACATTATCTAACCGTTTTTTTATGATACAATTAATATAATATCTTAACAAATTAATCATTTGTCTAACCGGATTTATCTCTCTAATAAACTTGCCAGAAATTTAAAATCTCTTCTCATTTTATTTTTAATAAAATATGCATCCAAATTTACGTGTGATTTTGAATTGAAAATTTGAAAATGGTATGATTATTCTTATGGAGATACTTATCAATCTATTAAACATTTAGAAACTTTTTTTAAAAAATGAGTTATCCCTCCTTTTACTTTATTTGAAATTATGACTTGTATTTTTGAATATATTATTATTTATTTTTTTACATGTAAATATTTATTATTTATTATCTAAGTGATAAATATTATTGATTTATCTCTTTAATAAATGTATATTATTTATTTTTTTTCCTTACGTGATATAATGTAAATTTGGTTATTAGATTTTTAAATTCAAACATTTAAAAAAAAAAACCACGAACAAATTTTTTAGTTACATTTCATTTTATCTTAACTTCCATATAATCACAATCCTAACAAATTAATTAGTATAATATTTTTTTACCCATTTTTATATAATCGGATTTCTTAAAATATAATTAATATACATTTTAACTATTTAATTATTTGTATAACTTGATTTAACTCACTAACAAATTTGCCAATTTTTTTTTTGAAATTACAAAAAAATTTGAAAGATTTTTATTTGTAAAATAATAAAAAATAGCTTTACTTTAAAGTCTGGATTATTTCCATTATTTTTTGTACGTTAACAATCATATATTTTGGATTATTGATTTAAAAAAAAATCAAAACCGTAAGGTTTAATAATATTTCTTAAATAAAAAATATTATATAAAGAGAAGTATTTAATAATATATATTTTTCATTATTGTATTTATTTTATTTTCATAATAGACGAGATGTGAAAAATACAAATAATTATATTTCAAATAAAGTCTTAAAAAATGTTTAAAATATGAACTCTTCCGTGCATCGTACGGGATATACACTAGTTTATGTGACATAGTGTGAAGAAGAAAAATGCCATCCCATATTTTTAGGGCTAACATGAGTGGAGATTTTATCACTTTAAATCAGTTTTTATGGAGATTTTTATGCTTTTTTTTTTTTTTTTTTTTTTTNCTACATAATTATTTTCAACAAATATAATCAAACTGCCTGCCACATCAAGTTTAGAAAAAAATTTAATAAAATTTATTAATTGAAATTCGATTCATATATATACAAAATTATTCATTAATTGTTTTAGCAAAGTAACATTTCTTTTAATACAAATGTCCAAATAACAACTTAGTTCATCCCCCAAATCGTCTCGCGACAAAAACCCTTCCCCCAAATCCGAGAGGCTCTTCCAAAATCCGTCCAATTGGCCTTCCCTGGTGACGGCGTAGTACCGGCCAGAGGTCGTCGTGGACCGCCCCTCCACCCTTTGACGACATGCGACTCCGACGCCCCACGGATGGCCGGATTTGGAGACCTGGCTATCGATTGCAGATGGGATCTTGAGTGGCGGTATAGTCCTTCCCGGTCGGATTTTCGTCTGCGATTGGGGTCCTCAGTCGCTGGTGGAGGTCCAACTTGTGGTGGTAAGTCGTTCGACACTCCTTGCCTTCGATTGATGTGCTCTGCTTTCGGGTGGAGTTCTGCCTCTCAGGTGGGGCTCGGCTTTCTGGTTGTTGGTGGTCTGTGGTGGTGTTGGTGGGTGTGTGAGTTAAGGAGCGGGGTGGGACTCCGGTGGCTGCGGCTGGTTTGTCGCGGCGGTCGGGGTTGAGGGTTCGTTCACTTTCACCTCCCCCTCTCTATCTAGTGGTGTTAGGTGGTGTGGTGCTGGTCTCTTTCGACCTCATCGAGTGGTGTTTGATGAGGGCTGGCTGGGCCGGCGTGGGGGGTGGGGGTTGGATGTGGCTTGCTCGGTTTGCGACGGGTCGATTCGGGAATTGGTTCGGGGCTCGGCTTTACCTACTGCTAGGCGTTCTGCAGTTTCAGTAGCGACTGCTCGGGCTCGGTATCTCTCTTGTGTCGATCGTTCACTGCTGGCTGAGCTCGTTTTGGTTCACTAGGGAAGGGCTTCGTTGTGTGTTTATGTTTGGTTTCTGTTATTCGTGTTTTGTTGTTTTGGTTGTTTGTTTTTTGTGTCTGTTCGAGTGTTTTAGGTTTGG